CGGCCGGCGCTCGTCCCCGGCCCCGGCAGCCCCGGGGCTGCGCTCGGTCGGAGCATCTTCAGCCCCGCAGTGGCTCGGACCCGATGCTACGGGAGAGGAGCGAGCCCGGCGCGCAGAGCTGCGGGAGGCGTCGGATGCGCGGCCGGGCTGGGGACCCGGAGCTCTCGCCAGCTCGCCTTGCCCTCTGGTGATTACCGGGCTGTGTTTAGAGCCCGGTCTTTCCTTGGAGGAGACCGGCGCATCCGAGAGGAGCCATCCGTGTCGTGTGCGTGTGGAATATCTGCAGACATGACTGCGTGGAGGAAATTGAAGTCGCTGCTCCTGCCTCTGGTGCTAGTGGTTCTGTGCGCGGGGCTCCTCACTGCAGCTAAGGGTAAGACCGGCTGGCTCGGTACCGGGGAGACGGCCGAACCCTCGGAGGCCCTGTTTGCCAACGAGAGTGTCTGAATTGGGGACCAAAGGGGACCGAGCGGCAGGCACGGGCCGGATGGCTTTCCACCAGCAACGCTGGGGAACACAGCGCTCGTTGCCGAGCTTCCATCGTTTCTTCCCACCCCTCATATGCCCCCGCCCCACCCCCGCCCTTCCTTCCCCCTCACTTGGGCTCAAACGACATTTCACTCTGTGCAGTGTGCTGTGGGTTGTCAAGGAGAAGAGAGCCCGACACGAGTTGAGCAGAGAGCTGTGCCTTGGCTCCTGGCGCTTGGTGGGCTTGGCGGGTCGCAGGCTGGGGTAGTTCCCACGACTTCTCCCCGGACCCGACGCACCTGGGAAACCAACTGGGCACCTTCAGCCTGGCAAAGTTCAAGATCTCTGGGCTCTGGTGCTATCAGGGAAAGCTCCTAGCTGACTGATATTTCCACAGCCTTACACCTCCTCACACCTCATTCCTCTGCTTCCCCTCCAAGGTACTCAGACTAGCTGCCTCGGCGAGGTCGCCCCCTTTCCTTCCCCGGACTTTGCTTCTTGCAAGTTGGAATACCTGGCGAGGTGGATGAAGCCAAGAGGGAGTTCTGCAGGGCTTTCATATAAGACCAGTTCTCTCTGGGTGCTGGGGCAGTCCCTGTCTTAAGTCTGTTCAACGGAAGGGGAAGGGTCTCTCTGGTGGTTCCTGGGGCTTTTGACTCAGTGAACTTGGCTTGCTCCTTGAAATGAGTTGGGGGATGTTTTCGCCTGAGTTTCTACAAGCTACAACCTCGGGCTGGCAACAGCTTGTGCGTTCTCTATTTTATGGGAAGCAGAGAAAGAAAAGAGGGGAGGGAGGAAAAAAGGAAGAGAGAGAGAGAGAGAGAGAGAGAGAGAGAGAGAGAGAGAGAGAGAGAGAGGAGTATTGATTGATTTTCACATTGGCAAGTACCTGCCCCCATTTCCTCACTCTCGCTCTCCTGTGCTGTTTCCCTGAGTGTCAGCTCCCTCCCTCACACTCCTGGACAAATCTATATCTGTATCTTTATAGATAGATTTTTTTCTCTTTTTCTTTTTAAAGGATGGAACTCAGTTTCGTAGGTTTTTTTTTTTTGACTCGTTTGTTCCCTCCTTCCTCACAAGCATTTCCCCTTTCCTCTCTTGACTATCCCATCTTCCTTTCCCCCAGTGATTCAAATTCAAGGGTGATTAAGAAGCAACAGAGGACTCTGTGATCTCCATCCAACCCACACCCGCCTGGAGAGAGCAGAGGATTCCAGGAGCGTTTGGGTTGGGGGAGACTTGGCCTCCTGGGGCTGGCCCCTTAGCCAAGCATCCTCTCCACAAAGGGTATCTGTGCAGTGCTCTCCAATAGCCCACCCAGAGAGATAAGTGGGTCCTGGTTAACTGGAGAGACAGGGTCGCTTAATTTCCCGGAGTTACCCGCAGATGCCTACCCTCTGACCATACACCCCACTCCGTCTAGCCTGGGCCTTCACCAACCTGCTGGCTGTGGAGGCTCCACTGGCCGAGCAGGATTAGGCTGGCAGAGGGCTCAGGTCACACCAGGCACGTTGAAGAAAGAGAGGCAAAGCATGAAAAATTGAGGGTTGTGCCCCCAAGCCCAATGCGGGCGTGTGTCCACGTTGGAAGCAGAAAAGATTCAGGACACAGAACCAGGCTTTATCGAAACAAACCCTTAGTGAAAATGATCCGCCTGTCATGTAACTATGCCAAACTTCTTACCCTTTCCTGCACTCTAAGATGATCTAGGGCAAGGCTCCCTCTTCCCTAAATCTGCAGCTCCCCCTTGGAGCGCACTCCCTGTTCCCCCGAGTTCTGTGCACTCCCCAGCTCCCTTCCCCCGCAATTAACAGAGGTTGCTGCGTGGAACCCACAGCCGCCTGCCCGGCTGCTTAATAATCCACACACGTGTGCGGGCCGATTCCGCCCCCACGAGGGTGGGCTGCTGCTCTAGGGGAGGCGGAGGAGGATCCGGGTGTGGATGGACAGGTCTTGGACAGAGGCTGCTTTGGCTTGGATCAGGGACTTCAGGGTAGTAGCACGGAGTCCCGGGCCTGGACTGACAGCTGGAGAACAGAGTGCCTCTTGCGCACCAGCAAACCCGGTGGAGACCGTGAAAGCCAAAGTGAAGCCCAAGGTGCCGCCAGCCCCTGCGTTTTTGGTGCTGGGATCGAGAGCGCGCTTCCCTGCGCGCACGCGCTCGGTCCTAGCGCCCAAAGGGACTGGGACTCTGGTCGCCAAGATTTCTAGCGCTATTGTCTGGCCCACGCGGCAGTGGGTGCACGCTCCTTCATTAACCCCCTCAAGCCCAGAGCTGCCCCTCCTAGCACTCCTGAGGTCAAGAGCAATCCTTGTGGCTGTGTTGGCTGGCAGGAGGCTGGTGACGCCAGCACAAGAGTGGACAACAGGGTGCTGGCCGGCAGCTGGGGCAGGGTCGCAATTCCCCTTGTCAAGCCAAAGCCTGTGGGTCAAGGTCGGGCTTCTGCCAGGGGGTGTCGCCTCTAGGCCCTATGGCTTGGCCACAGGGTCCGAGGATGCACTGGCGCCTGCGCGGATTAGGGTCCTCCTCCAAGTAGCGCACAGACGGAGGGCACTGGGCCACCACTGCCCCTCAGCTTTTCCTGCTTGAGCCCAGGTGGCAAAGGAGTCCTGGAAAACAGGTTCAGAGTTTTTGATGCATGGGTCATCTTTCATGACCTGTTTGCAGAGTCTCGGAGGCTGGAGGCGCTGCAGTAGAGGTCGTTGGAACCCCCTTCAGTGCCCAAGCACCAGTTCAGAAAACACTGGGGGAAAACAGAAATTCCTGTTGATATTTCTTTCTTTTTGATTATTAGTGAAATAACGAGGGTGGAATTCTAAGTATGGTTCTCTTTTTGAAAGCACTACATTTTCTAGGAACCACGGGAAAATGAAGAAGGTTCTATGCTTTTACATTTGGTAAAAAGATGGAATAATTCATCCCAGGAAGCTCCCTTAAATTTGCGCCTCCAATCCAGGTTTGAACTTTTGCTACAGGCTGTTTGAGCAAACTTCCCTGCTCACCAGGGTCTTGGGTTCTTAGTTAGGGCAGTGAAGTTGGTCTTGCAGACTTTGCTCGGGACTCCAGCTGCAAGCAATCTCACCTAATGCTTGCCTGAAGGAGCCTCACCTGAGGAAGCTTGGGAGCACGAGGCAAGATTTTGTCAGGTGATTTGTTTCTTTGGTTGTCTACCTCCCCAGCAAAGAGATTTTAAAGTCCACGTCATCGAATTCACGCAGAAGCCATATAGAGAACTCAAGGAACAGGAAGGAATGTCTGCTTATGCTCCTGGGCTGTTATTCCTCTGAAAATTCCTATCACCAAGGTGCTAAGACCTTTAGTTTCCAGGTTCAGTTTCTTTAGGGCAGGGCCACTCTGATTTGGCTCCTGCTGCAGCCAGGATTTTCTGTAAATAAGAGTGCTCAAAACCACTCCAAATCTGCCCTGAACTGGTAGCAGATTGTTTACTCTCCTTGTATTCAAGATGTCCTCATCAAATCTTTTAACCTCTTTGCATTGTCAAAGGTAGTACTATATTATTGTTGTTGTTGCTATTATTATTATTATTTTAAAACTCAGATCTGTTTAGCCAAAAGCTTCTTACTGCTTCTAGAGTACCTATTTAGTGACAAGCTTGGGTTTTTAAGATCATAAACAAAGCATAGCAATTTATGGGACCAGAGAGATGGCTCGAGATGGCTCAGGGGTTAAGAGCCAGGAGCAGCTCTTGTTTTTCCAGAGGACAGGAGTTTGATTCCCAGTACCCACTTCAGATAACTTACCACTGTTACTGCAACTAAAAAGGGGTCCTACACTTCATTCTGTCATCCAAGGGCAACCATCACACATGGGATACTCAATATACATATATATATATATATAATATATAATATATATATATATAATATATAATATATATATAATAAGAAGGGGGAATCTTCTGATGTCACAAGTTTGTCAAACTGGAAGATGAGAACAATGCCATCTCATTGGACACGTCCAGAGGAGGAAGGGCAGTAGTCCAGGGGCACTAGAACACTCCCCAATTCTAGGGCGCAAGCACCTTGCTACTGAATACCAAAGGGAGGGGCTGTTTTTATATTGGTTTTCATCTGGCCAACCATGCTTAATTGGAAGGCAGCACACCTCTGGCTTCCAAGTTCCTCCAGGCAAAACATCTCCTTCCCCAGGGCAAAACTGCCCCAGTCTGTCTCCAGTTTATTGCCTGAAAACCAAACCAACTTGGACGATGTCAAGAAAATGGTTCTGCATCCTCCCTGAAATAGCGCAACAAAGGCTCGGTGGCCACTTAGTGCTTATTGCTGGGGATCTAGCAAATCCACTGTAGACATTCTAAGCTGTCAAAATGCAAATGGCATATTAAACACTCCATGCTCTACTGAATTCTAAATGTGACTCTGGTAGTTTTTCTGCTGAGCTCATGGGGAAGAAAGCTGTTACAACTTGCATGTATGCCGCTGAAGCTATGTGTTCTCTTTTGGGCCTTTATTTTTTTTCTTCTTGTTGAGTTCATTTTCTTCTATGAATAATTAGATAACACATGCACCTAAAATGTGAGGCGGGTATGATTTTAACTTTGATATTACGAGGTAACTGCTAATTCACAGGAAGATGTGGGTAAGGACTAGAAATACATCTGCACTATTGGCTCCTTTGCTCTTGGCAGCATTTTGAAGACCCCATCGCCCATAGACCACCAGAGGAGTGACTTGAACTCCCGGATGAGGAGTGGTGAAGGAAGAAGCAGGACAATTTGACTGTGTCCTTGCCCTAACAATTGTATCAGTGTTGGATTTTTTTTTTGAATGAAGAGACTGATCTTAATGTACAAACCAATGCACAGAAATGCTTTTGGCTTTGTAGAAATCTATTAGTCCTAAAGAAATCAAGCCTCCGTTGATGCC